ACACGTATAATATTGGTTTAACTATTAAAATACTACAAAAAAAACTCAAAGTTCTATTTAACATATTTTCTGCTCTTGCCATAATTAGTTAAGGTTGATAAACATCCTCCTACATAAAAATTTATAAACACAAACACAATTAGGAAATCCATAGAATCTTTAGCATTGAAGTATTGAACCATCTTAATCGTAATCTATAAAGTGAAACCATTGGATCATTCAAAATTTTAAAATCAAAATACCTTTATCATTAAAAAACATTGGAGTGTTGAACTTATATCATCAGTATTTGTATATAACACATTTTAATCGTAGATTCTATCATGTTTTATCAATGATGAAGAATAAGATTCATGTTTAGATCGTTTATCCATTTGTCATTGAAATGTGAGAGTGATAAATGTATATTTATCCATAATAATATATAAAAAGTAGTTATTTTAATGAAAAGACACCATATGAAGAGTTGCAACTTTTCAATTAGTAGGTAGTTATTTTATTTTAATGAAAAATCACCATTTAAAAAATTATAACTTTTCAATTAGTAGACATGATTGTTAATATAAAATAAATAAAAGATTTTAATTAACTTCAAATAATTAAAAACAAGACTATTTTAAGTAAAAAAATGTTAACTAACACTAAATAACAATGATTGTAATTTTAAAATGTATAATTAGAATCGTAAAATTAGATTATATATGTAAATTATACCGTCAAGGGTATTGGTTTCCTACTACACATCAAATTTCTATTCAAAACTATAGACCATAGTTATATAATGGTTAAAGTAATTATGCGCTTAAAAAAATTAGTTATCATCACACATCAAAATGGAGATTGGTTATACATAGTTTTGTAACCTTGTGGATCCATCATTTGTAATCGTCATCATCAATATATAATTTTCCCACTGAAAAAAACCCAAACTACTAATGGGTCCATCCTCAAATTTCGTAGCAATATCAACGCATGTTGAATATTTTGATTTATACAACCCATAAACACTGTTTTTAAATAAATAGTATCAACTATTCTATAGAATTGTTAAATAAAAAAATCCACTACAAGAACCATCCATTTCAAAGAAAAATAAAGTTGGAAAGTTCATTAGTTTTTTATATTTTAGTTTAGCAATAAAACCAACATTGTCTAAAGAATTCAAATATTCTTTCACAAAAATCAATACTTTTAAATTATTTTAAAATAATAGATTGGCGTTTTGATGATAATTGTTTTTATAGTGAGTTATAAAATTCGTAGCCATGATTAAAAATACAAGAGTTAAAGACACATCTATATATAAGACGTAACAGGTTTTTTCTTGAAAGATCGCAACCGTACGGTTGAAAAAAGCATTGAAAAGATTATATCTAAAGGACACATCTTTTGAAAAAATCATAATACGGTTATCCTATTCCCAACTCTTACGAGACTTTCTTAATAAAAAGACGCAACTTTTTAAAATAACTACTAAATGATTTCTTACCAAAAAATCCAACCTGAAGAATAACCATAAAGCGGTTATCCTAATTCTTTTTTTTTTGGTCGGCAGTTTGATAAACAACTAGTTTATTATGGAATTTGATTGATGATTAACCAAATCAAAAGGATACAAAATCTGAAAAGTCTGGAACTATCAAAAGCAAATGATTAATGAGTTTATAAAATATATAATGAATTAACTATCGGGATAAATTTTAATTCTTAGCACGAGAGCACATTATTTTGCTAGAGACATATTGACCTCTTAAAATGTATATACATTTATTATTGATCAACTGAAATTTTAATTACATTTCAAAAATAGTATGACTACATTTACACATATTTAAGAAAGTAACTAATTTGATGTCGTAAATAACAATTACTACTACAAGATAACAAACACTTACAAGAAGATACAATTTTAAATTTAGATCTATAGAGCATGTCAGTAAAAAATATTTTCCCTTCTAAACACATTCCTCATATTGGAACCATCGCTTTTCATCTAAAAGAAGAATCTCAAAGTTTGTACGCCATTTCAATCGATTCATTTGGATTGTAGCATATTTTATTAATCAAAAAGAGTATTTCCTTAATTTTTCCTATTTAAATTGTCCACGACAAATAAAGAATATAACTAATAATAAAATCGATTGTGGGTGTTTTTTCATTCCTGAATTGTATAGCAATGTTAACGCAACTTCAATATTACGATGATGACAACCTAAATAAACTGCTTTCAAATATAAAGAATCAATATTTCCGTGAAAAATTGTAAGATAAAAAAACTCACTACATGCCCCATCCATTTAAAAAAAAAACAAATTTGGAATTTTCAGTAGTCGTTTATATTTAAAATCGCCAAATATCAGCATTGTCTAACGATGTCCAAAATTCTTTAAACAAATCCAGAATTTTTGGAACTTCGTCAATGGTAAAAAGATCCAAATTGTTAAAATGCAAAATAATAGAATGACGTTTTGAATAAGTCTTAAGTTTTGAGTAATTTGTAGAACCAATAACCATGACAAAAGAAAAAGGATGAACAAAAGAAAGATCAAAACATATATAGAAAAACATATTTTTGACAGAACGTTTATTTTTTTAAAAATATAACTTTTAGGAATAACCACCATTTAGTTATCATGAAAAGACGCGACTATTGACGTAGGAAGTAACACCAAGTGATTACTAAGAAAAGACGCGACTATTGACGGAACGGTTATCTTAAAATCTTAAAAACACAAAAATTTTAGAAAGTAACCAGCAAACGGTTACACCAATGAGATAAAATATATATATATATGCGAAATAGTTTATTTCAAAAAGACGCAACCCTTACAAATAACTATACAGCGGTTATGTTGAAAAGACGCAACTCTTGACAAAATGGTTATATCGAAAAAGACGCAACTTTTGACATAACGGTTATATCGATAAGATGCAACTTTTAGAAATAACCATCAAACGGTTTTTTTTACGAAAAGACACAATCTTTCGACAAGACACAACCATCAAAAACAACCACTATAAATAAACCGAAAAGTCACAATTAGGATTGCTATTATATATAGATGTAACAAATCCATAAATAATTATACATCTCCAGCATTCACGCGCTCGTGACAGTTTTTTTTTTTTGGTCAAACGAATACTTTTATTAAAGGGTTTAAGTCGATCCCGTCCACAATACAAGAGCATCAAACGCTCTTTTCGCTAATGAATCAGCCAAGATATTGGCGACTCGTGATACAAAAGAAAACTTTAACGATCGAAAATACAATGTTAAAAGCCATATCTCAAAGAGAAGGTTGTGGATATCCGTATGCTTCCTAATAGCGAAAAGTTAATCTCCCTTAAAGTATATATTCTAATTAAAATCTCATTAATAGCGCGAAACCTCAGCGTGATGAAGGAGAACAGAAGCAGAAAGCTTGTAGCTGCTAGCGAGGAACACCCTGCGTCTTCTTCTTCCTCCGAAACAACGATACCAGACCTACCGATTTTACAGAATCATTCTGAACCGCAACATCCATTACCGGTGTTGACCCGGTTGGGTGATCGGAAAGAGCCGCAACGGACTATTACAATTCAGAAAACTATCAAAAAGAAGACAACAACAAGACTGCCGGGAAAGAAGAGAGGCGGAAGCAGTCCACTCATTGGAGCTAGCCTAAAGAAAAGGAATGTCAATCGCTCTTCTATTCCAGCAAAGAAAAAGCTCAACATGGAATTATCTCATGAGACAAATGTGTCTATCTCTGTACCTCGTCATGAGGAAAATAATAATCAAGTTACTACTACTAAGGCTTCGTTGCCTTCTTCTTGTAAG